TGACTTAAACGCGACATTGCCATGTACTGCTGCTGAATGAGTTATTAGAGCTTTCCCCATCGCCAATTATGTTATGTACTCGTCGAGTAGTTAATAGTACTGACGCGGAAAGAGGGAAATCAGAAGACCACCAGGTTTACGATGATACTTGTATTTTCCAAACAAGGAAAATAAATGTCACACTAGTGTGTGAGTGAAATGGTACGTAGTGTAGGAAACGTGGGAACAAGTATGAACAAGTGTCTAATACAAAAGCATATATGAAAATGGCTAATAAACATGAACCAATAGACAGACAGTCTTATCATGGTTGGATGTAATGTCATGTGATAACAAAGTGTAAGTGACCTTCAAGTGCTCAGCCTCTCCATAAGCCATTTGTGCCGCTATCCTCTATCAGATTTCGCCAGCCTGTAGACGGACGTAGGTCATTTGATCAGCTGATGGATATTGGCGTTATTTTAGGAAAAGACGTCAAGGTTAGGTCATTTTTCGTCGTTTTACGCACTTTTTTTACATATATTCCTGCTAAAAGTTGATGAAATACGGCGTATTTAGCAGAAATAGGCAATGGTGGTGTCTTTATCCAGGCGTAGCTTACAGGCAGTTTGCAGTTTGTTGAAAAAACGTACTTTTCCGTTCAGAATATGTCAATTGACATATTCTGAACGGAAAAGTACGTTTTTTACACTGCAATGCTACTATAGTAGCATTAATTTAACCAAAAACGTTTACTTACTCTTCGCCGGCTCTCCCTTTTGTCTATGCGATCACGTATATCATGGAAGTAGGCCTTTACAGTCTTTTTTAGAATTTTCTTAACGTCGTCATCAGAAATTGTAGCCGAAACGAACTTGCTGACAATGACGGCTAAAAGAAATAATTAAATAAAACAAGCTTACACGTTATAACTGCATAAAAGGTGCATTTAGTGAGAGCCAATTTCTTTGGAGTTCCAAATGCTGTAAAACGACTTGACAGCTTAGGCTCCATAACATAATTTAGCATCGCTCTCAACGAAGACTCCGGATTGAAAGATAATTTTTCCACCATTTTCATCATCTGAAAGTAAGTAAAGGTTTATTGTGAACTTACGAATGATTCTTTAAATTTGGGATTTTTAAGTGACGCTTCTAGTTGGGTGAACTCTTCTTCAGTAGTTACGGGGAATTGCAGTTGACTATTGTCAATGGTTGATTTCCCGCTTCCAACGGCGGCCACACCCGTTGACTTATTCACTGACAACAATTGCGCCATCATTGTTTTCAGCGACTGAAGTTCTGCTTTCATTTCTCCTTTAAAGGAATGCATTTCTCCTTTAAGGGACTGCATTCCCTCTCTAATTGACTGCAACTCATTGGCTACTTTATTATCTGAATCACAGTTTTCCTTACTGCAAAGTAAATACTAATGAAAAGTGACATACGTAGTCTGCTGAACTAGTTGCGCTATAGGTGAAGACGTTGCCACTGGCATTTGTTGAGTGGAAGTGCTGAAGGAGTAATGATATTAAAGGAATGCGTTACCTGGCTATCGGTGACATAACAGTTTCCATGAAATTTGTTGTCGGGTATTTTGAAGGCAAACAAACTTTCTGTGCCTCCACTGCTTCAAGTTCCATTGAGTTGTAAGCGTAAGACGAGTTCTTTGTCTCAACTCTGCATTCTGTGATTAAGCAATAAGAAGAATCTACCTTGGACGTTTGGAATTGGTAAGAGGTAATGTTTCCTCCATATTATCTGAATTGGAGAGTACACTGTGTATTCGTTTAGTAGCCTGCAAAGTATTCTTGGCTTCTACGAAAGAGTCTAATTACAGTAATGTAGTAACACGTAAATAGTTACCTAGTTCAGCTAACATTTGACAATCCGTTAGCACCCATTCCGGTCGAGGTCTTACGCAAGCCTCAACTTCATTATCTGTTATACTGCTATGATACAAGCACAGGTCTTCGGATAGCATCCAACTTCTGGCAGCTATGAATAATTCTTTGGACCCAGCTTTCCGTAATACAGCATAATTCTTCTTTTCTTTCTGTAAGAAATGATAAATATGATGTAAACAAAATTTACTGTCTTATTAGTCCGCTTGGCAATTGAATGCAGGAATGCCGACGATTGACACAACTGTCTAAGCAGGTTATGGAAAAGTATGAGGCAAAGGCACCGCAACTGCATACCTATCTGTACGAATTCCAAAACACTTACAAGTAATGTCTGACGGACGAATCTCTACCTTGTATGGGCTAACTTTTGAGCACTTCCATATCCCAATGTGGGATGACTTAAATGGTTCCTCGAAGAAATCACCAAACTCTGCATAAGGTCTGAATATTAGTCCATCCCTATTTATCTCAGTTATCAGACCCGGTCTACCGTGAGCTATAACTAAGTTATCTGGTGAAGAGGAAGTAATAAGTGTATTCCTAGTATTAACTGTTTGCCTACGTGCATCCACCTCACACTCATTTAAAACTTCATTGCGTACTCCTCCTGATTTGCAGTCGTGGAACACCTTTTCAGCAAAACGGTTTGCCGCTTGCTTAGCGATTGCATTGTTTGAATGTATTGATCGCCTTATTGTCTGCATATAAGATTCAAATGGGAAGGCCGAAAAAGATTCCAACGGTCCCATTTGATTGACATCTTCGGCCAAGTGTTGCAGACAATGGATGTTATAAACTAGGTGCTTCCTACCATATATAACCTCAAACTCATTAAGAAAGTTGATTAACTCAACTCTGCAACCTTCTAAGTAATTTCTATGAAATCTAGGGTGAGACAAAAGGTAAACTGCTAGACTTAATCTTTGGAAGTTGCGATAAATTGCCAGTGGCATTATGTCCTTAAGTACAACTGGTCCTAGGTACAGGAGGAACAGGCGACATTCTGTGGCTTTCCACCGACTAACTTCGGTTAGCCCCCTACATTTCCTCGGGAAGTCCCTGGGTGTCATTCCAGCACAGTCTAATATCTTCCCGTCAATATTTCCTAGCATAAGACGGTCCACGTGCATCTCATTTTTTTAGCTAAGTCTTGCCAGAGACTTACAAGCTTCCTAACTACCCCTAAGTACACTAGGTGCATTGGATCAAGGGGAAACACTTAACCATATCAATGTTTAATTCCTCAAAAATGCAGTCTCCACGGTGGTGACTTGACTGCATCCTTTGACGGAAGCTGTCATCAGTTCTTATTGGGAAAAAGCCATTTCCAAATATCATTCTTCCATCAACTTTAACTCCGGTGACTGTGCATTTGTCGCAACCTGAACTAGCATTATGACCTACTATATACTTCAAGTCCGCTCTAGCCGGTGCATCACAGATGACGGCTGTTAAACGAACGTTGAAATGCCTATGAAGTCTGGTAATGTGTATGCCTTGACTTAATATATCCTTCAGTTCAGATACTAAGTCAATGCATAACTCTTTGTAACTGCTGGGCTTGCTAGGACCACCATATATACCTATCAAGAAAACACTGCTTAAAAACGGTGCCGTAATCCTACCTAACAGGGGCCATAACTGCTGGTTAGTAGACTTCGAGATGGACAAACCGTCGACATTCAACTGCAGGTCAATTATGTTGCTGGGAGTTTCAATCACAGACGACATCTCCATGTAGTGCTGCAAACATTTTTTGAGACCGATGTGGCAATACATTCCTTCTCCCAGTAGTCTAGAATCGCATGACCCACACATTCTCAGTACACTTCTAACAGTTTTTGGTAGCTGAGGCAATTTTGCACGGAATATCTCCAAGATTCTGTTAGCGTCTGCTTGTGAAATGTTCGTGGTGACTAGGATATTCAGAAGCATATTTGTCAATTCATCACGTTCAGAAGAGACTTGTGTGCACATTTCCGAAGTACTAGCACATGGTGTTACGCTGGTGCACGGTGTCGATGGCACCACCTCGATTTCATTAGTCATACTATCAGTGTTCACTGAAGAGGGCTCGACCTCAACAGGAAGGACAGCATGTGAAACAGCCTCCGTTGATGTCGACGCTGCATTTATCTCGGCCATTATCTGCGCATAATTACGTTTATACCTTCTGTAAAACGTAGTGTAATGGCAGGTCAATTGTAGATTACGCTCACGTAATCTCTTCAGGCTTAGTATAGGGTATTTAGTGTTAGACTATGAGAAAAATAGAAAAGGGAGAACAACGACCACCTACCTGCATGGTGAACGGTTTAAAAGTGCGCGCAAGATGTGTAAGTGTAATAAAACAAACCCTGACATATGTAGCGCTGTAATTTACGTTTAGCAAAGAAATTTGGCACTAACTGAACTGATTGGTCAGTAAGATTAAAAATTATTCAATAGTAAAATGTAGATTTCATTGATTTCCGAAAAATGCAGCAGTTAATTCATGCATTTTATTCATTTCCAGCCTCGGTGAAGTATTTCTGACCTAAAACTTTTACTACTTACAATTTTTCAGTAGTCTACCAAGGTAAGTAAAACTTTTCAAATGCTTCCCCATTATTCGCATTTTGTCCCCATTCTTCAAAATGTTGTCCCCATTCTGTCCCCATTTTCCCCAAAATGTCCCCACTTTGTCCCCACATTTGTCCGATCGGGAAATAACTTGAAGACACGGTATAACGACTTTTCGTGATTTTTCTTTGCAGTTTAATGGATTACACATGGACATGATGAGGTGGGATAGCTCGTTTTAGCAATTATTTCATTTACTTTGTTGTGTACTTTTCCTAATGCTGACAAGACTCCTCCATATGAATTTCTTTAAGAAAAATCTGCAGAAATACTTAGAAGTTATGTACGCATAGTATTTGCTTATTTTGTGGCATAAACCTGATGTTAGCAGGTAGATGCAATATCGATTTTGTATTATTGAAAAATGTTGATTGACGTAATTATGTACAATTCAACTGATTATTTCGTCATTTTAAACAGATTTAACGGTTAATTATTGTGTTTACACTGATAACAATGTCTACATCTGTATAATTCTTATGTTCTTTTTCAGATAATATCTACTTTCGGGAATTTCTTGGATTTGGGTGATAAAGAAAAGGATACCTACAGTGTTGTCGATTTTGTATTACATGTTAATTCATTAATAAATGTATTCCTCGTTATCCGTTTGTTTGTTCTACTTGATAAGACCAAATATTAGCTCTTGCGCAATATGTGAGGTGTAGAGTATATGAGACTATCTTTGAAATACTAAGTAGGAGCAGATGTTAGGAGAAGCCTATTGGTAAAAGATTATGTTGTAGTCAAATAAAGTAAATATGTCTAAGTCGTAGAGGAGGTCTTGCGATTATAAAGCGTTTCGAGTTATATGTCGTCATAGCAGAATACGTAAACTGATTCCCGATTCATAGTCACCAAGTGAGAATATATCTACCTGAGATAGTTTGCTTGTGATTTCTGCATGTCGCAATGTACCATAAGGAGAGACTATACCTATGCTGTTAGATGTATAACTCAGTGCAACTACGGTTATCGTAATAATTAAAAACAGAATGCCTAGGGTTCTCAGCCACGGGACACGATGCGTTGCTATCTACTCATATAACCACGTAAACAAAAGTTTTCCAGACACCGCATTTACTCCTAACAGTTTACCCTCAACTCCTAACTTAGCACGAGTTACTTATGTTACTGGCACACAATCGCATTACAACAGAAGGAAGACAGATTCATTGAAAATTGTTTATTATACAAAAATTCGATTTCAAATGTACAGGTAATTCATATGAGTGGTCTTCTGTTCTATCTGCGTACACGGAATATGTATGTTTTCCCATAAGTCTGAAAAGGTTTAAGAAAAGCATAATTCACTTGGGTATTACATGCATGATCTGAATAAAAAAATTTTCCTGATAAGCATTTACAAGTGATCACTTTACAAACAATATATTTATATCTATATAAGTAGCCCAATAGTTTTCACTAAACTTAAGGGACTTCGCAACCTATCGTTGGTCGATATCCAGTAGGTCCATCGAAGCATCATGAAATGATAAAATTATCTAGCAACAAGTTATGCAGTAGTTTTCAAAGCTTGTATACATATTTTAGCAAAAATGACAACCACTTTATGACAAATAATAGGTCTTGACAGCAATGATAATAACATTCATGTTCATAGTGACTATAAAAACAATAATAGGTATTATTATCGCAACGAATTCATCATTAACTTAGATAGACAACTAATAATAATACAATCATATCAAATAAATGTATCACTTAATCTTAAGAAGCATTTGTTTACCTACTTTCGCTGTATTCTCTCAATACTGATGTGCTCAACAAGCTTATTCCAACTGAATTTAAGATTAATTCTGAAAGTGAGTGGAGATCCAGTTTATGTCAAATAAAAACATGTAACTTACACGTATTACACTGCTTACTGAGACATCTGATACCTGCTTTCCGATCTTCGTGACAAGAACACAGTCTATCTAGGCTTACCTACCTATACATGAGTATATGTATATGCTGCATCAACCATGCCGTTTTTACCATGATTAGCCAGACCACTGTGTATATCATACTTATTTAAGGATCTCTGAAAATAATGGTGAAGCGATAATTGAAGTTGCGTGAAGTTATTACCTCTTCAGAACATTGTTTGCATTATTGACACTCCTGAGAAGTCCTTAGATCTTAATTTGGCATGAATTCGTTGAATTCAGCAAATAAATCCACTGGTATATCATTTCTTTCCTGATCTGTAATAGTTTGTGTTGTCAGTTATCTCTCCAATTTGATAAAACGCTCACGGAAATTCAGAACTTAACCAAGCAGCAAAATGATGTTTGAAATTACCTCAACTCGAATGACAAACTGGCCAATCACAAGTGAATCGCTTATTTACCTCATTCGCGGTCACTCAAAATTACGGCCGTCGACAGGCTGTCGTGACTTTCCTGACGCACTTGGTTCGCTCCCTCGTTGTGCTTTCATACAGCGCACTCTTCGAGCCTACCTCCAGTCGAGTCAGCAGATAAGTTGTACAGTCACTTTATTTATTAAATATGTTATTCACTTACATTAAATACAACTCATACTAAGAATTCTTTCCATTTTTAGCCTTTAAACTTTGATCGCGTTAATTAGTACTTACACGTTAGGTAGAGTAATGGTAAAGTTATAAGACGGTGAAGTTTTTATTAAGTGTGGTGGTATCGAGGTCTATTTTAAGTCTAGCCCCAACACCTACAAGTGGTGAGCCCGTTTTCACCGTTTCGAATGTTATGGGCCTTATGAAAGGCTTTTGCGAACTTTGACGCTGATATATTTCGTATATTATATCCGACTTATATCAGACCTCATTTGGAATATGGGATCCAGGCAGCGAGCCCGTGTTTCAAATACGAAATAGACTTATTAGAAAGGGTGCAAAGAGTAGGAACTAAGCTAATAAAGGGTTTCTCAACCCTGTCATATGAGGAGAGGTTAAGTCGACTGGGTTTATTTCCACTGTCATACAGACGACTTAGGGGTGACCTAATACTAGCATACCGTATCCTAAGAAATGATTTCGGAGCTAATTTATCTAAATTATTTCTTCCTTCTAGCACCAACCAATTGCGAGGACATCACCTCAAGGTTCAAAGACCACGGTCGAATCGTCTGCGTCTGGAGATCCGTTTTTCGCATCAAATTGTGAACCATTGGAACTCCCTACCGGAACACGTCGTATCAGCGCCATCCGTTGATTCATTCAAGGCGAGATTGGACCTCCTGTGTGCAATAAATCGAAAGGATTAACACAGGCATATGGCCTACTATCCTAAATAAATTGTAAACTGTAAACTGTTTTCCGCATAGTAGCTTAACGTGTTAATAATTCTTTTTACATACCGTCTATTTTGTTAATTTTTTTCTTTCACGCACGTTTATAAAGATTTCATTTGTTTTGTTTACACTTATATTGGTATTTATCACCTTGGTAATATTTTGTCTTGTGTGCAAGATGGCTGACAACGGTTCTGCGTCACAGATGGCTATAATGCTGCAACTCTCCGCCTTTTGGACACATCGTCCAGCTTCATGGTTCAATCATATAGAGGCTCAGTTTGCCATTAGACGCATACACTCACAAGAGACCAAAGTAAACCACGTGATTGTGAGCCTGCCTGAAAATGTCATAGACGAGGTGTCTGACGTTCTTGCAGATCCGTCTCCGGATCGGTACGAGCGGCTCAAACAGGCGTTAATTCAACAAGTCGCAATTACAGACCAACAGAAAGTGCAGGAACTTTTACGAGATGTTCGGTTAGGTGACCGAAAGCCCTCAAAAATGTTGAGGCAGATGAAGCAGTTAGTGCCGAACTTCGAAATTGACGAGGCCTTCCTGAAACAGCTTAGGCTTCAAAGATTACCTCAGAGAGTCCAGGGTATCCTGGCACCGATCTACAAGTACCCCTTAGAGGAGATAGCCGAGGCAGCTGATGATGCAGCATTGTTCCTCTGATGACTTCATCCAGTCCGCAGAATTTCACAACACATTTCAAATTTGAATTTAATGCTTTCCATAGTTTGTTAACAGCCTACTACTTGCACTTATACTATTACTACTTATTCTACAACCGTTTCTTCTCCCTCCTTTTCTCTTTGGCTGTCTCTGTCTCTGATTGACCCACATTTTTCGGCATCCTCTATGTGCTCACTATTAAAAATCATTTCCTTTGATTATCTCTAGTTGAGTGATGTTCATTTTGCGTCGATAAGTAATGTAGGCAATGTATAACTAGCGTGAAACTTTGTTACTCTCACCTGGTTAATTAGTTTTTTTCTCTTTGAATCTTTCTTTGTTATGTTGCATATTTTTGCGCTTATTTTTATTTTCCGTATTGATTTCATACTCAGTTGTGTGTGTTCTCTACTCACTCAGGTTTCAGTACATTCCAGTCAGTCTAATTAGTCTTTGTGGTGAGCCAGAATGGCAGAATACTTTCACCTATTCATAGTATAAACACTGAGAATCCGCTTCACACAGGGAAGAGGGTTGGAAAGTGAGAAGACACTGTCCTGACATATCTTGCATTGTCTCAGTGTCATAAGAAATCCTCAGATGTTTCTGTGACTGAAGACACATTAAAGCCAACCGGAAATTTATCAGTGCGTAACGTTTATGATTCGAGGCCTGCGCTCCTCCTCGTCGAGATGGTGAAGACAAAGAACGTAAGAAGCACATTTCCATTCCTCAGGTGTTCTCGCTGTCGCTCCATCTAGCTTCACAACTGCAAACAAACTTTCATTTCGTCCCACAACATCTCCTCCTAGGTAGTGTTGGACTGAAAAAGAATTCCTCTGTAAAGACGTCTGCATTCCGAACATTTCGATATGTACTCGCTAGTATCTCATGCAAAGGAACATTGATCTTCCACAAAAAATTTTCTCCACACAAACACGCATACACAAAAATTGGTACATAGCTTTGAATGTATTATATTCACTTGTGAATTGTTGAGCACACGTTTGATTTTTTGCTGCTAACGAGCCGGGCTACAAATCAATTTGTGCGGATGACCGAATTAAAACTTTGCCTCATATTCTGACTGTTTGTTTCCCCGTTATTTGGCGATTTGATGAAGCCAGTTTTCCTAGGATCGGTATAGATTGCAGGTTAACAGACTAATTGACTTCTACACCTGTTTAAAAATATTTTGAAGGATATCTGCTTTGAACAAGAGTATCCATCACTACTTCATTTTCTCTGTCGATATCATGAGCTGTGCAAATACGTTGAATCATTTCAAATAGACATTTCGCCAAGCCTCTCTCAGAGTGTAATCAACAGAAACTGTGAACATAAAGGTATTTCTCTGTCCAAGTAGGCTTTCTTTAAATTGATAGAATTACTAAACCATTATATCTTCGACTCAGAATTTGTCTTAAAGTGCAAGTTGGTTGTGACTTTCTTCCTCGTATGTAATCCTCATATGATTCTGTACAGAGTGAAGTCTGTCTAACAGACGACTCGCAACTTCATGATCGTCGCATATCAAAATGATATCATCTGCGTATCTCCTACAGAAGGACAGAGTGATTAGGACCCTCGCCGACCATGCATATGTTCCGAGTTTCAATCATCTGCCGGCGCACACCTGATATCT